ATGCTCTAGTGTGTTGTAAGTTATTTTCTACATACAAATTCCTGTTAAATTGTAAATTAGAAAACACTACTTTAATTCTCTCTGGTCTTTAGGTAGCTTTTAGCTGTGCTGCAAGTTATAAACATGCCATGAATACAGATGAATGTCCTTTTTCACGGCAAAATCAAATCACAATCCATATTTTTTAAAGATCTGAGAGGTGGCTGTTTTCCTGGTCAGATGGCAACTACTTTTGGGAAATCAGCAACAGGATGGAAATCTTCAGGACTGGGAACAGGATAGAAATCCTTAGTATTGGGGTTCTTATTTGATTGCTATTTTAAAAGTCACCAGTAATATCAGCAATGCAGTTACATTTTAACATTCAAAGTTGACATTTTAGCATTGGCAAGGGTGATAAGATCAAGAAAACAGGCAGCGTTCATTAGTCTTCTGAAGTGTTCTCCTGAAGTGGTTACGCAGATTGCCTATTGGGCTTTCCACAAGGCATCGCCTGTTTCCTGATGAGGACATCTTCACCATGAGGGAGATCTTTAAGTGGGTTTTGTCCCACTCATTGGCATTGTATTTCCACCAGAAAAGTTATTGGAAAAGCAGGGAAATCAAGCAATTGGTTTGCATTATTTGGGGGTTGAAATATCTATTGGGAACCAGGCACGGTGGCTCACGCCTACAATTCCAGCACTTTAGGAGGGTGAGGCGAGAGGATTGCCTGAGCTCAGGGATTCGAGACCAGCCCGGGCAACATGGTGAGACCTCATCTCTACAATAATTCATAAAATGAGGCAGGCGTGGTGGCACATGCCCGTGGTTCCAGTCACTTGGGAGGCTGAGGCAGAAGGATTGCCTGAGCCCAGCAGGTCAAGGCTGCGGTGGCCATGAGCATGCCACTGTACTCCAGCCTGGGCAACAGTGAGACTCCTATTCAAAAAAAAGAGAGAGAGAGAAGTATCTATTGGGTTACTAAGCAGACATTCCTCACATAAGCAGGCACACAAATATGTATTCTCTTTGAAGATTCTAACTTCGGCGACCATTTAAGAAGGGGGCACACAAGACAGATGAGGGCAGACCTTGTTCCCCTACTCTACAAGTGCACAGAGACGTCAAGTGACTCGCCTTAAGCCATTCAATCAGCAGAAGCTGCACTAGGGCTAGAACCCACCCCATCTGATTCCTAGGACCATCGTCCTCTTGTGTTGGTTGACAAAGGTACAAGACAGGTTAGAGAAGATAGCACTCCCTGACCAGTGGTCCCAGCTGACACTTATCAGATGCTCACTCACTCTATGCTAGGAAGTCTTCAATTTTCACAGCATCCCTGTGAAAGAACTCCCATGGGACATGAACACCCAATCCAGAGATGGGGAAACAGAGGCAAGCAGACGTCAAGAAACTTGCCCAAGGTCCCAGAGATGGCCAATGCTGTTCGCTTGCACAGAAAACACTGAGGCAGACACTCCTAAACCAATGTTCAGATGACCAGTCATCCTGGGAAGCGAAATTTTAACAAATTATCTTCACAGTGAGACCCAGGTTACTGATGCCTCCAGACACATGATGAAACTGAAATATCCTGTTCGGCAACCTCTGAATTCTTCGCCAAGCACAAAGTGCCAACAATGCTAATGGATAGGGCAAAACCCATTTAAAGTTCTCCCTCAGGTAACCAGCTCGGGTCCCCTCCCACTGTGGGAGCTTTTCTGTCCTCTCAATAAGTCTTGCTTTAAAAAAAAATCTCCCCCGTGAGTAGGTCTCCAGCAGGAAACAGGTGATGCCTTGTGGAAAGCCCAACAAACGATCTGTATAACCACTTCAGGAGAACACTTTGGAAGACATGAATGCTGCCTGTTTTCTTAATCTGACCACCCTTGCCAATATTAAAAAGCAAACTTGTTAAACAATATCAATCCAATTCAGAGATAAACTTAACCTGCAGTTTGCACCAGCACCAAACAGGGGTCACCCACATCACGTCACATCTTTGAATGACTCTGTGTGATTCCCCGAGATGCTGTGAGATCTGTAGACAGACTAGAATCATGACCCCTGCATCCCTGCTGGAATCTGGTTGACTAAGCCCTGTCCTCAGCCAACCTGAGTCAGCTCGGACGACAGAGGAGGTTTGATGCCGTCATCATTTCAGCAGCTATCAATTCGAGGATCTTGGAAAGTCCTGCTGGCTCAGGAATAGCCTTTGATGCTCTGTGCCTTTTGCAGCTTTTTCTTTTTTTCTTTTTTGAGTTGGAGTTTCACTCCATTGCCCGGAGTACAATGGCATGCCCACGGCCACCCCAGCTTCAACCTGCTGGGCTCCGGTGATCCTTCCACCTCAGCCTTCCAAGTAGCCGGAACTACAGGTGTGCGCTACCATGCCTGGCTAATTTTTAGATTTACTGTAGAGATGAGGTCTCACCAAGTTGCCCAGGTTGGTCTCAAACCTGTGGGCTCAGGCAATCCTCTCACCTCGGCCTCCCAAAGTGCAGGGATGACAGGCTTGAGCCACTGCACCTAGCCAGTTTCTTCAAAAGTAATGGTAAATTACTGAAAAGGGGATCTTCATTGGCATGGAGTGCTTATCTGCTGGTGGGAGGTCATTCCTCAACTGCTGTGTCGTCCCTGAGAGCTGGGGATGATATCGCTCCCCCTCCCTTTACCCAGAAACGTGAGTCTCAGCATACCACAGGACCCAGAGATGAGCTTGCTGGCAACAGTCTGACAGGTCTTGTTTCTGCTGTTTATTCTCTCCCTCCGTACCACTGTCTCACAGATCAACAAAGTAAAGTGAGGCACACAAAGAAGCTGGATGTAACCAGGAGCTGCAGGTGCTATTGGTATGACCTCAGCACCTCCACCTTCCACCCATCCGGTACGCCCTGGAGGGAGACCTGCTGGGAACACATCAGGGTGAGCCTTCAGCAATTACTCAACCTTTCTGTACCTGGGTTTTCTTTTTTCTTTTCTTGTTTTTAGAGACAAGGTCTAGCTCTGTCATCCAGGCTGGAGTGCAGTGGCTTAACTACAGCTCACTGCAGCCTTGAACTCCTGGGCTCAGGCAATCCAGCTCAGATTCCTGGGTTGCTGGGACTACAGGTACACACCATCATATACAGTTATTATCATTTGATTTTATTTTTTGTAGAGATGAAGGTCAGGCTGGTCTTGAACTCCTGGCCTCCAGCAATCTTCCCACCTCGGCCTCCCGAATGGCTGGGATTACGGGCTGAGCCATTTGCCTGGCCTTCTTCTGAGTTTTCTTATCTGGCCAATGAGAACCACAATAGTGCCCACCTTGTAAAGGAAATGAGGGGTATACACGGTGCCTGGCATATAGTAAGTCCTTAGGACTTCGAAATCATTGTCAGGGTGATTTTAAACAGAAATGTGCTTCCTAGACCCACCCATCAGTCAGTCCACTTGGATACCAACTCGTAAAGCTAGAAAAAAATTACAGAAAATCACGCAACTTCCTATTTCACAAAGGACAAACCAGTGAGTAAAATGATCCTGCTGAATTCACTCTGCTTATCTTTTTCTAGTCCTGTCCACAACTCCTGGAAGGACTGGGGTGCTTTTCTGGATAGTGAGTAAAGGTTAATTCTCCTGCCTATATAAACAGAGTCCTCAAAAAAACAAACAAAAAAAAACGAGTTACAGAATCTTCTGATATTGACAATCATCTGGTGTAGCATTCTCATTTTTAGAGATGAAAACGCCAGCTTTAGGGCCTAAGTTACTTTCTCAAGCTCACCTGAAAACTTAGTGGCACAGACAAGGCTAGAAAAACGATTGCTATTATCCTCAGCAACCTACCAGACACTCTCTTAAGTCCACTATAGACTTCACCTGTTTAATCCTCATGAAAACCCTCTCAATAGGTATTATTATCACCATGTTAGAGTTGCAAAAACTGAGGTTCAGACACTATGAAGTAACTTCTTTAAAACCTGATAACGGTCAACGTACAGGGTCAAGATCTAAATACTTCCCGGCTGGCCCCAAAGCATATGTGCTTGCTCTGAGTTTTCTAAAGCTTCGTTCTGAAAACTCTAGGGCTACTTCTTAACCAGTAACTTCCAAGCCACCTGTGCAACAGTCTCGTCTGGAGAGCTTTAAAAAATACAGATTCCTTGACTTCACCAAACGGGAGAGAATCAGGTCTCTGAGGGTGTGACTTCAAATCTGTATTTCTACAGAGCTGGTACTTGTTTTGGTAGAGAGATCTGGCAAACCCATCTCTAAGCAAGAGGCTTTATGACCGCTTCCAGAATCAGATGAGAGGGAAATGAGTTCACTAAGGCTGATGGAATGTTTAGAGAAGCTGAATCTGTGTGAAAGGTAACACGGTGACCTTCTCTCCAATTCTTCTGTGACACACAGATGCACTCACAGCCCCAGTCACATAAACAAACATAAACACTTGGCCCTCCACGTCAGTGGGTTCCCCACTCGTGAACTCAACCAACCAGGAATAGAAAATTATTAGAAAAAAAAATGCATCTGTATTGAACATGGACTTTTTTTCCCTGTCATTATTCCCTCAACAATACAGTATAACAACCATTTATATACCATTGGCATTGTATTAGGAATCACAAGTAATCTTAAGATGATCTCAAGTATACAGCAGGATGTCAACTTGTGGGTTACACGTACAAACGATGCTGCTTCTTACCAGGGCCTTGAGCATCTGTGCATGTGAGTATCCTTGGGAGGTCCTAAGACCAATCCTCACGGACATGGAGGGACCACTGTGTACACCTGGCAAAGCCTAACCCCTCCTTTATTGATCTTGCCTAGAAGACTCTGAATCACATGACAATGACAAGTGCTGCCCTGCCTGGCAGGACCCGAGTATGTGTTTTGTTGGATACACAGCACTAAGGTTTCCTTCCATCTGAATCAAAGCATCATTTCATTCAAAGCATCTAAGTCTGAGCCCGGCTTTCTCGGCACCGAGTCACAGAATGGAGGGGAAAACTGTCAGAAGGATCACTTACCAAGGTGCACCGTATATCCTGAATCCCTTCACCGTTACCTCCGAATCTTGTAAGTAAATACTGTTTGTCAGGAGAGACTGAACATTGTCAAAGTCCTCTGGTTTCAATTTGGACACAGAGGGGAAACGGTAGTAGTCCTGTTTAACAAGGTCTGCCATGAATTCCTTATCAAATGTCAGTTCATGATTCCCAGCAATCACTATTTTATATTCATATGGCAGGTTTCCTGAAATAAGAAAAAAGAGCACCAATTAGCACATTCATTTCCCATCACAAAGTACAACACCGACACGACGTGATTAGCAGACAGCTCCCCCAAATGAGGCGGCTCGCACATTCCCTTACATTTCCCTGAGAAGCAGAATTTATTACTACTCCTTCCGGCCAACAAAAATGGCAACAAACAGGAGATAGGAGGCGTCTAAGAAGCTAAGACGCTGCTCAGAAGACATTACGTTTTCTAGTTCCGTCTCTTCTGCATGCCACAGACTCACGGTGACGAATCTGCATGCCGATGAAGCCACCCTTTGTGATTATCCACAGAAAGCACCCTGATCACGACCCTTAAGAGAAGGTCTGAACTTGACTTGATCCCCCCAGAATACACCCACAACTCTTCTTAACAACTCAGTTAACTGCTAGACTTTTAATATATCCTTCACACAAAAGACATGACACAGTCAAGCATTCCACAGTTTATATAAGCAAAGGGACCCATAACGTTTTCAGATTTCAAGACTAATTTTAAGTGCATCTTTTGGCTGGTGGATACAAAGAACATTACGAAGGGTACCTGGTTAGAAGGCTAACTTTCCTCCCATCGGGACAGGAGAAGAAACTGTCAAGCTTAACCCCCGTTTAATATTTATGGTATGGAAATGTGAGTTCTCGGTGTGTGCTTTTTATGCAAAAGTTTCCCGATCAAAATGAGATAATTCTGGGAAGAAGAATGAAAGCTATAAAGGAAACCCCAAACACACCAGACTTCTGCATAGATTTATAATGTTTGAATAAAGTACCGGTCATACATATTAATAACTCACCGTGATACTAGACGAACCCAAATCCAGAGGGAGACAGTGCCGGGCTGCTGTCCCCATCCTGAAATGAATGCCCTTTTCTCTACTGTCAATATCCGTCCCTCAAGCCTCGATGTTGGTCTGCTACTCATTTTATTTTGGAGGAAAAAAGGGAGAGACAATGGCACCGTATAATTCCAACTTCCTGAGACTCCTAGGTCCAAGGCAAAATGAACGTTTCCTGCTATTCCAGGAAGAATTCAAGTTACCACTAGCGGGAAATTGGACACACTGGTTGTAAGAATTGGTCCTTGCCAGCAAGCCAGAATCTCGATGATGCCATTAAGGAAGCTTAGTAAGGAAGGGAGTTTCTTTTGGAGGTGAGGGCAGCAAGTTCCTTCATTGGTGCACTTGAATTTCAGCCATGCAAACTGTGAAGATGATGCTGTGAGGTCCACACACTCTCAACAACACACCACAAACATTATCTGCTCAAACCGAAGCAGTTGGTGAGACAGCTAGACTGTAGCTATTACTTTTTAGGTAATAAAGTTGCATATATAACACGTGCATTAACAGAGAGACTTAAGAGAGAGATGAAAACAGTCGGACAGAAAATAACACTGCAGAGAGCGAGTGCAATGGCTCACGTCTGTCATTCCAGCATTCTGGGAGGCCGAGGAGGGAGAATCGCTTGAGCGCAGGAGTTCGAGACCAGCCTGGGCAACATGGCGAAACCCTGTCTCTACAAAAAATAAAAAAATCAGTCACGGTGACGTGCGTCTTCTACTGGAGAGGCTGAGATGGAAGGATCACCTGAGCCCAGGAGGTCGAGGCTGCAGTAAGTGGTGATCGTGCCACTGTACTCCAGCCTGGGTGACAGAGTGAGACCCCAACCCAAAAAAAGACAAGGGAAAAAAAAAAGAAATATCAGCAGATATCTGACTGCAAGCCCACAATACTGTGTGGCATGCCTTTTTGGCTTCAGTTATTTGCAGGACTAGTCTCAAGAGCTCATTAACTAAACAAAAACAGGAAGCCCTCCTCAAATGCATCTGAGTTTGGTGATTAGGAGTGTGAAGTACATCGCAAGCCACTTGGATAGAAAGAAGATATTTTGTACAATCCCTACCCTTAACGTGCAGGTGAAAGCTGCATTCACAGGGCCCACGTTCCCAGCACTCTACACATTGGAAGTGTGTGAGAGATCTCACAACCCTAATCTCACACCTCCGCAACCCCATCGGCCTGATACTGCACCCCAGGTTCACCTGCACTCCTACAGCTGGAATGGACTAGAATGTTTTCCTGGACAGGCATCTTTTCCCAGGCAGGTCCGGTCTGCGTGAATCTTTGTGCAAAGGATTCCACCTGTACAAACTGCACCACACTTGCCAGCTTCCCTTTAATCATTCATAACGAGGCACTCATGTAAACCCTCTCAAGACACAACACTGCTCCTGCAGAAGGCTGGGCTTTGCTGTCTGTTCTAACTTGGAGAGCTCTGGTTCAGGGGTGGCCCAGGTGAGACGGACATGTCCCCTCTTCAGATCAATTTAAAAAAAAGAAAAGAAAATCTACCTCAGGGTAAATCTTCCTCAGGGACACAGGCATCTTCAGTGTTTTTGAAATCAATTTTGGAGACGCGGCATAAAAAAGTAACCACCAAAATGAAGCGCCGTGGACATGGTGATGAGATTTACACATCGCCAGCAAATCCGTCTCTTTCTGAGTAGCTAGTAGCAGCTTCCAACCTCCATCCTCTGTTACCTGTGTTATGAGATTGTCTGACATATTTTCTTTTTTGCTGACCTTTCATCTCTAATCTGCCAACCTTTATGTTTTATATGAAAAGTGTGAGTGGGGCAGCTGACAAATCTCCTGTTACTTGATGGCATTTTCGTTTTTTTTTCCAGACTAGATTAATTTGGAAGGCTCCGCAGTCAAGCTTCAAACTTCTTGGTATTCAAATAGCATGACTTTAAAATTGTCAGACAAAGAGGTTCCTGCTTTTCTCCATTTTATTCAGATCAGGCTGACCTGCTTGTGTAAAAACCAAGGCCGTATATAGTCACTCGAACAGGGAAAAAAAAAATCCTTGCTCCGAATGACCCAGAGAACTCTGGCAACGAACCAGTTTCACCCTTCCTGAGATGTGGTATATGTTCTACTAATGATATACAAGACTATTTTAGGTAGATGGAGATGACCCTTTGACAAGATGTCAAAGAATCTGTATGTATCTTTTCTTTTTTCTTTTTTTGAGTAGGAGTCTCACTCTGTCACCCAGGCTGGAGGGAAGTGGCATACTCACACGCTCATGGCCACCACAGCCTCGACCTCCTGGGCTCTGACGATCCTTCCGCCTCAGTCTTCCAAGTAGCTGAACTACAGGCGTGCGCAACCATCCCCGGCTAAGAGTTCTGTATATTTCTTAAATGTGTATTTGGACAATGATAATGTAACGGTGTAAGCGGTTTTGTATAACTTTCCTTTTCTGCTGCTACATACAAACTAACTAACAGGCGATTTCAAGAAAACTAGCGTGTAAATGAAAGTGGAGGTGACACACAGGCATGGCAAAGTGACAATGGCAGCAGGTGAACGAATGAAATGTGGGAAGCTGGCCCGTCAGCCCAGCTTGGAACTGCAGACCACAAGCGAGACCATAAACCCACAGGGACAGCACGGGCGTCTTATTCTACCCCGTCTCTTCTGTGCTAAATGGCGTCACATCCACGAAGGGAAGTTAGTTCACCTGGGTCCTCACTGCCACTCAACAGTTCTAACTCCCCCATCCTCTTGCCACCATCTCGTCCCCAGAGCAGCCGTCATGAAATTTTTCCGGGTTCTGTGCTGGCTCCCAGGCTCCTTTCAACCCCTCCCCAGACATGCGACATGTCTCCCAACCGCACGAATGAGGAGGGTGGGAGTGTCTCTGCCCTTCCTCCTTCCACCTGCCAGTCCACTCCACCCGTCGGCACCTTCTCATCTTTCTGAGACAGACGGGATAGCCCTCACCTGAAAGGTTTGGGACCAGAAGTGTTTCGGATTTCGACTTTTTTCCAGGTTTTTGGAATATTTGCATCGAACAGCCCTAGTCCCCAAATCCAAAACGTGGACTGCTCCAACGGGCATTTCTAGAGTGTAGGCCAGTGCTCAAAGTGTTTCAATTTTGCAGTGTTTTGGATTCCAGGTTTTTGGATGCGGGGTGCCCAACCAGTGTTGGCTTCTTAATCTCACTCCTCCCACTCCCACAAGCACCGCCCTTTTCCAGGCATCTTCTCTCTCTTTGGGCCTCTCTCTATAAACATCAAGTCCTCCTCCTTGGTGAGTTTATATCTACTCTCCCCAAGGACACAAGCACGAGCAGCCCTGGACACATACGCGCGCACACACATGATCTCCAACATTCCCTGGCCTCGTTTCTTCTTTGAGATTCTTCCTCATGACACCTCTAAACCTCTCAGAAAAAGGATTCCAGAAGCTAAGCTGGTAGGCCCCATTCAGCCCTCACATGCGTTACGGTTAGCCCCGATAAAACCCCGAAAATAAAACTGAGTTTTATTTTCAAAAAAACTGAACTAACATTTAGAACTCAGGAGACACCACACGGAAATTTCTTCGTTTCCAGATCCTTGTGGGAAATCAAAAGATCAGGCATCGGTGACCTCCAGTCTGCTACAGACCTCCCCACTCCGATGTCCTTGGACTGAGCACACTTACCATGTGTGGTTTTCCAGATGGGCCCCTGTATCATTAGATTTCACAACTGACAGACAAATGAATTCAGTGCAATCTGGTTTCGGTGTCTAGTCTCTTCTGAGACAGTCCCCGAGATGTCGCTAATAACTGAATGGCCAAAGCCGAGGCTTCTTCCCAATGCTCACCTCTGTGGGTCATGCCATTGCCTCGGTCCCTGACGCACCATCTCCAAGTTCTCCCCTCCCCCTGGTCCTCCCTTTTCTCCCTCTTCGTTCTCAGCCTCCTTCTTGTCCAGCTCTTTGGTGCTTACTCTGACACACTCCCTCTCCATAGTATTTAGTGCTCCCTTACTGTGTTTCTCACGTGTCGATCCTTCATGATTCCATTTTTTTAGCTATCCCTGTTTAAACCCTGACGGCAGCATGGGTGGAGAGAGGGAACTCTGTGGGCTCTGCCACACATTAGCCATATGACCTCGGGAAGATGCCTTGTGTCC